ACAGCAAGGAGGGCACCGTGCCTTCTCCTGAGACAGCTGCAGCTAACTCAGCACAGAGAATGGCCCTTTGGGGCTCCCAAAGCTGGATTCGCTTCCCGTCACAGTAACTCAATCTCTGCATCTGCAAAATGGAGAAAATTAGAATTATTACAGGGCTGTGAGACTGAAGATGGATGTCAGCACCTCTTTGTGTCCTCCCCTGTTTCCATGCAAGGGAGGCTTTCAGACCAGCATCTTCCTCAAGGCCTGCCAGGACTGAGGCCACAGGGGACATGAAAAGAGATCCAAGCAGCGCTGCCATGCTGCTAGCCCCCGAGTTATTTACTTTCATATGAAATTCCACAAATATTTCATGCTGTCCTAACAGCAGCTCTGAGCCGCAGGAGCTGCCAGCTAAGCTGCTCTCAGAGGAGGGCAGCAGAGTCCCCCAGATGCCAGCACATCCCTCCACAAAGAGCAGGACACTTGAGACACATGTCCCGTTGTCTTTGCCGCTCTTTCCTCCCCAGATGAGGACTCCTCACACCCCTGCCCCAGCATGGGGTCCCTCCCATGGGAGACAGTCCTCCATGAGCTTCTCCACCGTGAGTCCTTCCCACAGTTCTTCACGAACTGCTCCAGCGTGGGTCCCTTCCACAGGGTGCAGCCCTTCGGGATCAGGCGGCTCCAGCGTGGGTCCCCCGTGGGGTCACGAGTCCTGCCAGCGAACCCAACACAGCCGCTCGTGACAGCGGGCACAGAGCTACGCGCTCCTTCAGTCAGTCGGATGGGTTTGCTGTGGTTGGGCCAGCCAGGCACCCCCATACTCCCTAGCCTCTGGCCGTTGATAAGAGCCCTTATCTAGTTCCACACCTGGAACGGGAGGCTCTCCCCTTGGCCCAAGCTTCTCCTGCCAGGTCTGTATCTCCTGCTGCAGAAGCATCGTGCTGCCTTTTCTCTTCTGCACTGCCCTCCCACCTACCCAGAGCAATTCATCCCTGGTGGGGGGGTCCAAGGAGCTGCAGCACACCCAGCGATGAAGAGCTTCATGCAGGAAGGACTCTGATATGGCCAAGAGCTCCAGGTCCATCCCTTCCCCCTGCAATTATACCCGTTCTCCTGACGCATAGTGTGGCAGCCTCCCGATTGCATGGCCAGATGTGCTAACTCACACCTGCCAGATGTGTGCCCATGGCCTTCTGCATATCACGCGATTTCCACCCAGAGACTGGCAGAAGTCAGGAGGACTCCATAGTTTTGGTGCCAGGTAGAAGAAGCAAGGATTTTTCCCTTCATTTTCGTCAAAAAAAAAAAAAAAATCAGGACCAGAAGTAATCCGACACGCTAGAGCCCACAACAGAATTAAAACCTCAGGTGATGGCACTGGATCCCAGGTTTTGAACTGTCATCGCCCCACCGTTGACAGCCATTCCCAGGACTGGACCCGACACCCCACATTAGGGAGATGCCAGGCAGCACCTGTTTCAGAGCAGCAGTGAAACAGCACGCTCCCCTTGGCCGGGCTGAGCCACACAGGAAGGAGGAACTGACAGTTCAGACACATTGATCCCCGCTGCTGATGCCAACCAAGCATCAGAGACACAGACCAGCACCAGAGACAGGAGGTTATTCCAGGAACTAGCTCTTAATTTAATTTCAATGGTGACTTTTCTGCCTGCTAGCTGGAAAGAGCAGTGGAAAAAACACACGTGGCAACCCCCCAGAGCCTCACCGGCTGTCCGTCTGTTCTTACTTGCAGGGATTAGACCTCGGCTCCCGCTCCGCAGTGTCCCACGGGATAAATGACGGAGGCTGGGAGAGCCGGACCCAGGTGATGAGACAGGGTCACGGCTTGGCTTAAGGCGCAGAGCAACTCCTTGTCTCCAGGACTCTGAATGTCGTAGCAGCTCGGCAAAAGCTGACCAGGGGAGATATTGATGTTTAGGGGGCAGATGCTATTACCTTGGACAACAGAGATAATTCCCAAAGGAGTGAGCAGAAAGCGGATGGGAAGACACAGAGGTCTGGTGAAGAGCTGTGGGCTACGTGAACTCCTGTGCCTGGCTGCTGCCTGCTGCCAGTGAATGTACATGCCACAGCAAGACTAATTTGGCAAAAAAGGATCTTGATTGAGAGGCTCATGGAGGGGGAATGGCTTAAAGACTTGACAGGAGAGATTGCAGGAGATGGTGGAAGAGAAGCACAGTCATGATTGTGAGGGACAGCGTGGGAGCAGCAAAGGGAGCGAGGACCCTGCAGAGACAGAGGCAAGGAGATCTCTGGCTTGGTGGAGGCTTGAGGACAAAGACGAGGAGCTGTGTTTCCCAGGGTGGCGTGCAAGAAAGAGCCGTGACAGCCCCCAGGTGCTGCTGGAGAATCAAGCAGAAAAGAAAGTGAACGCATGGGAAGAGTCTTGGAGAGCCAGTGGCGGAGTGGAAGTCCCCGGCATCCAAACCACAGCTGGAAGAGATGGTGAACTCATCCAGGGACTGCAGAGACAGCGAGGAGTTGGAGAGAAACATCCTCCAAGAGCCGGGCAGAGCATGGACCAGATGCTTCACCCACCTAAGGAGCTTCTCCAGGGAAGACAGGGCAGCACAGTCCCCAAGAGCAACACATTTTATAGCCTTTGTGGAAAATTCCAGCCCTGCTTAATCTCCTGGGGCTCCTGTAAGATTGTGACACAGAGAAGGGACCAAACAGGAAAGAATTAGAGGAAAAATGCCTCTCTTCTGGCAGCCACCATGGCTGTGCCAGGAGTTAGGAGCAGCAGCGGAGCAGCCAGCCCTGGCTCCCCCTCCTCCGGCCGCCTCTATAAACACGCAGGGCTTACTCAGAAGATTAGAAAGGAACAAGGCAAAAGACAACAGAGTCTCTTTTGTAATGAGGAAGGATTACGGCATCAAGTGACCGGCTGCAGCTCCCAAGTGGGTTTCAGGCTCCTTAGCACACCGTGTCTGGCAGGTTCAATCCCCCCCATGAGCCAAGGGGGCACGAGGAGGCGGGCTGTGGCGCGGGCCACAAAGGACCCAGCGAGGACACGTGCGGGACCAAACCTCCACAGCCTCCAGCACAGCTCCGCAGCCCATGACTGTAAGTACCTAGTCCTCCCAAGAGCAGATAGATTCCTTCAAAGATCTACCTTCCTGGCTATCCGTGACCTCCTCTCCGCTCTACCTGCTTGCTCTCTGTCTTTGCAATAGATGCTCGTGTCTGTTTGCCGTCCCACGCCGTGGGTAACGCACCTGATGCTGGCTTGCTGGTGGGGGATCTTGGTTGCTGTGGTCTCCCACAGTCCGATTAGTGTCGGTCGACCTCCAGGTGCAATGGTCGGTCTGGATGGATCAGGCAGGAGGATGCAGGCAGCGGCTCCCAGGGGAGTGGGCTGTGCGGGCACCCCTGGCTCTTCCTCCCTATTGCGACTCCGGTGTGCCGGTCACCTCCCACCACGTACCTGAACCCCAAATGGTATTTTGAGTGTGCCAGCTGCTGAGTGACATCCCGGGGCAGTCCCGCACAGGCTGGAGGAAAAAGCACTGGGAAAAGCCCCATATCCCGTGCCGGAGCAGAACGGCGTGGAGGTGGGTGACATCCATTATTTACATGGACAAGAGCTGAAGTTTTCCATGTTTGGTAAAAAGTGAATCTGTATTTGAATTACGCAACAAAGAATCTCCCTGAGCACTGTCAAGACCCAAAGCGTAGAGAAAACAGCTCGCTTTCCGTAAGCAGCCCCCAACAAATGTATGGGTGTTTGCATACGTTTCTCCTCTATATAGCCCATGCGTGTGCAGTCCCTAGGGCAGTTAAAAACCTTCTAAGTCCTGCACACTAGGCAGAAAAATACACGGAAAGTACATGAGGCTCTAGTGAAAGGTGCATTTGTGCAGCTGGGGAGCCCCTGGCAGGGCAGGTGCCAGCTCTGCTCCTCCAACATAACCTGTGAGAGGGGATTCAGGGAGAGTTACGACAGGGAATGGATAATTAATTAGGAACCAAGGGATCATTGACCTATCTGCTTGGCATAGATCACACTTGTTTGTTTGTTTGTTTGTTTTTCCACAAATTTAAGTTTCTATGAATGTGGGTCTGATTATTAATTGATGATAAAGAATTATTTATCCAGGGTTAGAGTAGGAGAACTGCAATGGGGATGCTGCATGATTGGAAGCATTTCATAAGCCTGAATGCCATTTTCATCCAGCGTGATTTATTGTGCAACGTATGGCTGAAGGAGAGGGGAGGTGGAGTTGCTGGAATTTGTGCTGTGTGAGCCTGGCCAAACTCCATCCCTCAGTTCTCTAACAGGGAGAGCTGTTCTGCCTGCAGGACTGGGACCAGCATCGTCCAGGTATGGCCCCCAGCCCAAATTTAAAGACAGCTATACCTGTTGAGCAACCGCTACAAGAACTGTCAGATCCCCTGGGGTAGCTTCCTCTGGATCAGCACCACGAAATCTCGCCTTTTTGGGGTTTGTGCTTTCCTTTGGGTTTCTTGTTTTTTCTAGCAGTATTCCAGGAAGACGCTTTCCGCCAAGCAGATTTAGAGAAACCACATATTTGAAGCAAATACTATGAGAGAGAAAAAAAATACAGTCATCAACTTTGGATTTTGTGACCCTGAGAATTAATCTGAAACAACTGTTTTGTGGAAAGGAGTAGCACGTGGGCTCTGTCCACTCTGACCACCCAGCCCCACTTCAATGCTGTTATCAAACATAAGAAACCAGGGCTCCAACAGATGGTATATTCTCTAGCATTGTAACCAGCTCACATACAGCTCAAAGACAGGACAAAGATGGCAAGCTCATCAAATTAATTGCCTACCATAAATTTCCTCCTGGTTCTCTATGTCACCAACTTCATCTTTCCTGTCTTTTGATCTCAGCTCATTGTTTCTTTCTCTCTTCCTTCCATCTTGCTTGTTTGCTGGGACACTTGAGGTGGCCGTTCTCCTCCCTCTGTGCAGGTTTGCTGTCTGCTTCAACATCTGCTCCTTTGGTGTCTCCACCAGGATCAGTGATGACAGTGACATACACCAACCGCGTGGCTGACGCCCGCCTAGGCACCTTCTCGCAGCTCCTGCTCCAATGGAAAGGAAGTATCTACAAACTCCTCTACTCAGAGTTCCTTATTTTCATCTCTCTCTACTTCACCATCAGTCTTGTCTACAGGTAAAGCATCCTTCCACCCTGACACCAACACAGCCCCTCACCCTCAGCCTGTCCTGGAGCAGGACAAGGCAGCAACGCAGGATTGGGACAGTGGTCCTGGTGAAGAGGAGCTGGCCAGCCACTCGCCAGCCGCAGGAGGAGTGGAAAGGTCCTTCCTCACCGCTCCAGTGTGCCTTAGCAGCTGACAAGTCTCTTTTTCTCTCCTGGGAAGGAACGTGGTTTCTCTTCCCTGGGATGAAGTTGCGTTTGATGATTACCTGCAGAAGAATGAGGTACAGATCGGTGGAGACCAGGGCTGAACTCCTACTGGAGATGTCCCACAGCAAGGAGGTTTAGGAGAGAGTTTCCCTTGTTACACAACAGGCAATAACTTGGGTACATTTCTGATATCAGCTCTGGGACAGGGATAAAGCAGCTGTACTCCGTGGCTGGTCTGGTTTTGGTGAGGCACGACAGGGAGCTCCCCTGGCTGGTTTGATCACAGACACAGCAGGAACTCACACAAGAGCGGAGCTTGGACTCGCAGGATGTTAAGTGACCTGGGGTGCACATGCAAGCTCTGGGGCAAATCCTTGCTACCACATAGCACTCTCCCGAGTGAGAAAAACAGGAGCAGTCCCTGACATCAGACTGAATTGCCTACCACACACTCTCTGTAAGGGTATTTTGAGGAGGAGGCTGATGTCCCAGGCTCACGGGGAGTGTTCACTCACATCATCCCCAAACTCACGGCGTGGCAGTGTTGTGACTGCTCATCCTTGGCTTCCCTTGCCAGCCTCCTATCCCAGTCGGCCCAGCAGGGCACAGACTCTTCTTTGAGGCTTACGCATCTGTTTCTCCCTTTCAGGCTGATCCTGAGCGAAAGCCAAAGGCTGATGTTCGAGAAACTGGCGCTCTACTGCAACAGCTATGCTGAGCTGATCCCCGTGTCCTTTGTGCTGGGTAAGGAGCTCTGGGAACACATCAGGAGGGGAAAGGGATGGCATTTCCTCTCCCTGGCTTGACATAGCTCTGCAGGCAGGCAGGATTCTCTCAGCAGATCCCTCTGCCTTTGTAAAACTCCTCGAGGAGAACACATCACTCCACGTTGCAGTGGTGAGGTTTGCCCCCAGCACACAGCTGGCACCGGCCAGAGGTACTGGAGTGTTCTGGGATCTGCCAGGAGGGCAGGCACCAAATAAACTGTGAAACCCAGACTCTAACTTTAGCATGGAGATCTGAATCTCCCTCCAGGCATGCCTGCACCCACCCCTGGATGAGCAGTGACTCCCTGCACACGGGCATTTCCATCTCCCCCTCCTTTAGGACGGCTAATTTGCTCCGCTCACCTCTAGGTTTCTACGTGGCTCTGGTGGTGTCCCGCTGGTGGGCTCAGTACGAGAGCATCCCGTGGCCTGACCGCATCATGAACTTGGTCTCCTGCAACGTGGACGGGGAGGACGAGTACGGGCGGCTCCTGCGACGCACCCTCATGCGCTACAGCAACCTGTGCAGCGTGCTGATCCTGCGCTCGGTCAGCACCGCTGTCTACAAGCGCTTTCCCAGCATGGAGCACGTCGTGAGGGCAGGTCAGTACCGCTGCTGCCTTCTGCACAGCTCTGGTGCCAAGCAGACAGCAGCACTTTGCTGCTGTTTTGGGGGGCAAAGAGCCCTGGAAATGGCCACGTGAGCTGCAGGCTGGAGATGGGACAGAGCTGCGATGTGCTCAGCTGATGTCTGCAGCGGGTGCTGAGCATCTGCTCACACCCTAGCTATGCTCTTCTGAGATAATCAACTGTTTCTTTCCCTGTTGAACAGCAGGATTGTTCCTGCTAGTGGCTGGAAGGCTTGTTTGAAAGATGAAGGATCTCTGCCCAAATTTTTTACATAAGGAGAGTGTCGAGATCCGGTTTGTGAATGCTGCAGGTCACAAGGCAGCCCTGGCTGATTAGATTCGGGTAACTGTGCTGCAGCAACTTCACTGGGAGCTGCTCGCCCTGCACTGAAAGTGTGCATGGGAAGAGAAGAGCTCTCAGGGCAACAGGTTTCCACTGGGCAGGTGGGAATTGGAGCCTCTGACCTTAATTGCTGGGCTCCCTGCATCCTCTCTGAAGATGCTCCTCGAGGTACCAGGGCTCCCAGTCTGCACCTGCCCTTGTAAACTGGGTTTCCTTTGCAATCCAGAGAGAGAAACAGGCTCTTCTAGGCCACAAGTCATTCTTTTCCCAACAAATGTCTGTGTAGACCAGGCACTGCACCCTCAGCAGTACTTTATCTCCCTGCTGACTGTGATCTGCTCAGATATGCTGCAGACATCCAAGGTGAAATGAGTAAAGCCTGCCTCTCACGCTTCTGTAACTCACGGTTTTAACTGGAAGACTTGTCCTCCTTCTATGTCTCTCCCAAAGGCTGAGTTCCTGAGGCTTTGCCATGATTTTTAAGGAGCACTAAGGTGGCCAGCTGAGATTCAGATGTTTTCATTTCAGTCCAGATCAATTCCTTTCTGCCCGCTATGGCCATCCCTCTCCCATCTACTCTTTTCCACCCAGGTCTCATGACACCAGAAGAGCACAAGAAGTTTGAGAGCTTGAATTCCCCCCACAACAAGTTTTGGATCCCGTGTGTGTGGTTTTCCAATCTGGCTGTGAAGGCAAGGAACGAGGGGAGGATCCGGGACAGCGTGCTACTGCAAGGCATCCTGAATGTGAGTGGCAGAGACAATGGGCAACTGTTTGAGATCCTCCTCCAGTCCTCTGGGCGGAACTACAGGGATTTCCAGAGGTCAGGCAAGGAACAGAAACGGTGAGGTGGGACAGCAAGCCAAGCCTGTCCCTGGGGATATGACATTAACTTTTATGGGAAATACCCCCACTGCCACTCTCCAGCTCGTGCCTGAACAGAGCTTTTCACGACCTGCTGACACGGTGGCAATGTCACATACGTTAGAGGCGAGGGGAATGTGACATCTTCCTCAAATGGGGGACTGGGGGGAACCATGGGACTCACATCTAGGTGCGGTAATGAGACACGCATGTAGCAGGTCCTTGATCCGCATTCCTCCAGCCTTCACGCACCCCAGAGCAGCCAACAACAGCGGCCAGTGGAGGTCTCTAGGATACAGGTGGAAAGCTGCAAGGAAGCACCTGGAAGAGATCAGGAGAGGTCAAAAGCATCCCCAACAACCAAGGTCCCTGTAGAAAACTTGACTATTGAGAACTCTCAGATAGTCCTGGGCAGAAGGTCATGCTCCACAGGCAAGACTTGGCCACGATCCCTGCCCAGCTGCAGAGAAAAAGGGTCCAGAGCAGCTCATCCTTCCTGATATTCACGTGTAGAGAAAGTCACGTGAGATTCATCTGCCCAGAGAGAGATGTTTCCCTCTGGGCTATTTATCTAGACTCACTGTATAGTCAGGGGAGAGGAATGGGTGCTCCTGAGATGTTCTTTGCCTCACCTGCTGGCTGCTCATTTTGCGAGGAGATAAACTCTGCTCTGAAGTGAGCTAGGAAGGGATCTTGGGCTCAGATGGAGACACCCAGGCAGCGAGGAGTTCCTCCAGGGCAAGCGTGAGACCCTGCTGGTGGTCTGCTGGGGTAAGACTGGGCACCAAGGGAGCAGGAGTCCTGGCTGAGCCCCCCCTTCCAGAGGAGGCGTGAGAAGGAGGGAACGGGCTGGAGCAATAGAGGGCAATGGGGCCAGAGGGGCTCAGCGTCCCCAGCGAGGTGATGCCACGTTCCTGGTGACAGGCCATTCCTTTCCCCCACTGCAGGAGCTCAACACCTTGCGCAGCCAGTGCGGGCGACTCTACGGGTATGACTGGATCAGCATCCCCCTGGTCTACACACAGGTGAGAAGGGATCCCCCACACCTCCTGCCCCATGGGGCACCCCTGTTTACACCCATACACAGGGACTATGCTGACACAAGATACACCTGAACCCTTGCATACGTCGCTCAGCGGCTCACCCTCCCCTTATTTCCATAACCTGGATACAGCCACCTCTGTCCAGGGATAACTACCCATGATGTGTGCCACACGGGTACGCAGAACACGCAGATCTGCTCCCTGCGCTGCTTTACATTTTCTTTCTAGACCCTGCACCCTGCAGCACTTTCTTCCTCCTCAGCAGAGCTGAGATCTGTCTCCCAGTAAAGCTGCTGCAGCAGGAGCTGCGCCCCATGTGAGAGCTGTGTACATGGACTCAGATGGTTAATTGCTCTCTCCATGAAAACCCAGGCAGACACTTCGGCACCAACTTGCTCCTTTGTCTTATACAATCCAGCTGCTCAGATAACACTAATGCACTTCACTGTGAAATGGGAACTGCTTCCATTCCTGCAGTGCTGAAGGTTAATGCTGGGAAAATATATTCCTGCACACTGGGAGCAAAAGCAATATCGTAGCATGTCTTTGCCCCCTCTGCAGAACACGACCCATTTTTTTTAAGGCACCCATCCACAATGCAAAGTCTGTCACTCCAAGCACTCGCTGTCCTGCCTGTCACCAAACAGCCCTGCGCTGTTCACCCAAGGAGCTGCATGGTGAGCTCCAGAGTCTCGTGATGCTGCATGTTTGTTTTGAACCCTTTGCTTGTTGCATCAAGAGACCATGCAAGAGTCTCAGCTGCTTTTAATTTGAAAAGGGGAAGTCTCCAGTCCCGTGATTACAAGAACAAAACTCATAGTAGTCTGAAATCTGGGCAAGCAAATAGGCAAATATAAAAAAGACCCAGCACGAGGACCAGGAAGGAGCTAGTCCAGAGCCGGCAGCGCTGCCAGGGTTCCCCTCCCTGACTTGGAGGTGGCCTGCCAGCATGGACTGAGCCCCGAGGGGCTCGAGACAGCTTTCAGGAGAGGCAAGGACAAGAAAAAAAGAGTTCACAGCACCCCTTGCTTCAGCAGCAGAACAACTGTGCAGCCATGCGTTGGTTGTTTAAGCTCTTTCCATCCGGGATGTCACGTGCTTTCTCAGCCAGCGTGACGCCTCCACGGATGTTATTGCAGGGACACCTACATGGATGTCATTCCAGGGACAGCACGGGATGAAATGCAGTGCATGCAAC